TTGTAAGAATAAGTTTGTAACAAAAATAAAATAATCAAATAATTTTAAGTACCTATATATATTGTTTGAAATATGTTATTTACATATTTAAAATTTCACGTGAATTGTTTTTGTTTTGAAAAAGTTATACGTGTTTATATTATATAAATAATATTCCAAAATTTTTTGCACCATACTGTAAATAACACATTATATTCAAATCAAAGCAACAAACCAATTAATCATATCTGACAAGTAGTCAAGCTTTTATATGATCTTATTAACAATATATACTCTATAGCAAATATTATTACTTGGATCAAAACAGTTTTTTTTTTTTTTTTAAATCACAAAAAGGCATTAAATGCAAGACTTTTATTAAACGAGAGTTTATAGCCATTACATTAAAGATCTTTACAGAAAAAAGTAATTTAATCCTAGCCTATTGCAACTTTTTCTGTTAGTACTTGACTTGCACCAAGTAGGTGGGTATATACTAGCAGTGTTGAATGGCTAATGCCTATTCAAAACGATGATACAATTGTGGGTATAAATATGTTTTTATCTGTTAGGTTGTTATTTGATGCTAATGTACTAAGTATTTTATGAAATGTGGAATTGTCATTTTTAGTATTGAGTTCACTTTTCATGACTGTGGTTTTTTTCTATTTTATTCCTGATATTGGTGATATAGTGACTGTTGCTGAACGTTTCTTCCAAACTTTGTATAGAATCTTAAGTGCTTTGTTCAAGATTGCAGCCTTGTTATTTTGTATTTTATTCAAAGGAGGTTGAAAATTGCCAAGTGTGAGATTTATTATATCAGGTGTTGTTATTGTTGTAAAGGTTGGTAGAGATGATTTTCCGTTGCCAGGTGTTTGAGAGGTATTCTTGTTAATTAGGTCTGTAAGTTTGTCTTTTTTTTTTGTAATAGTGGATAGGGCATATATGCAGAGAAAGATATGTGGTTGGTCTTCCGAGAATGTTTCACACCGTAGGCAGAGGTCATTGTCATATACATTAGGATACCTTTTGTGAAGTTTGGTTCTTGTAGGAAGTTGATTGGCGATCATTTTGGTTCTGAAAACTGTGAGGCTTCTGTATTTTAGTTGGTTATTTTTCTTTAGTTTTTTGTTGGCTTTGCAGATCAATTCTAGTGCTGGCATTGAGGGGGACTTGTAGATTGCTGATTGACTTAATAATGTGTCAAAGAAATTAGTGTAGAAATTTACAAATTTGATCCACTATGTAATGCTAGTGGCATAATTGTTGTTTATTAGTGGTGAGGTGTCATATGTTTCTGGAAACATTTGTGGAATTTCTGTGTCACTTTGGATATTGCATGGGAGCTGACTTTTGAGTGGATTAAAACAGTTTTTGAAAGTCTTGTACTGCTTTATAATCTTATTTGGAAACCAAGATATAATATAGTAAATATATCTTTCATTATTGAAATTAAATAGGATTCAAATTTCTATTGGTCAATAATAATAATAATAATAATAATAATAGTAAAAAAAATAACAATGATACCAATTCAAAAAATCCAAATCAGGAAGTATTAAACTTCAGATATAACTTAAACTCTTATAGTGAACTAATAGCAGATTTCCCATTTCTAGTTACTATTATCAATGCTAACAAGTCTGTTACTGCTTCAGAACTAGGCTTGCCATTGACTATTGTTTGGGGTCATCTCACTTGCAATATCAAAGGTACTTGTTGGCATGACAATTTTTTAATTTTCCTTCTTCCCACTTGTTCTTCTGGTACAATCCTTTATCAATAGACTCTATATTGACTACTATTGGATTTTTTAGACAATAAGTATAGGGCTCCTAACGATACCACTTTGATACCACTTCAATATCAGTTCCATACTTAAATTTACTATAAAATTATATGAGTAGGTCACAACACATATATTAAATTTATTATTGTTACATTTGATTTTTGCTCAAGATCATTATTATCCCTTGCTCAATTTTACTAGTATTTGCTTTTGAAATGTCACACATTCTAGAATAATTCTTGTATTACTATTTTTGTTATTGTTTAGCACTGTACTTTTTGTACTATTGTTGCTATAGAATATTTCCTATTTTATTTAATTATTTTTATTCTTGTATCTTCACCAGAGCATTTGTTTTTATGCTAACACATATAGATAACTATTCTGATGAATATAATATTTCTTTTATATTTTTATTATTTCTTATAACATATATTTATCATGTATAAAAATATTATAACTAAAATATGTATATAAAGGCTCCAATTTCACCTAGAAATTGGCAGGCTTGAACATATATTCTATTGAATAAATAACTTAACCTTCACAAAACAAATCATTATTGCCTCTTTTGCCTAATCTCATATATCTCAGAATTGTATTAATTTGTATGTCTTTAGAAACTTTAGCATACCACATTGGTTCCATTTATCTAAAGTATCTTCCTGATACTAGTTCTCTGTTTTTATCTTTCTTTCGAGGTAAAAACAATATATAATACTATAGATTGATACCATTTTTCGATATCAGTTTGATATCAGTTCAGTACTTTTTAGAGCTTTAGATAAGTATCTCTATAAGGTAAGTTTATTATTATTATGCTACAAGATACAGGTTTATTACAAGATTATTTTTTCTATTCAGTTACTAACTCACTATTGGTTATTCTACTTCTATTTATATTACCTGCAATATATTTGCCAATCTTACATCACATTATACAAATCTCTAATAGACTTTCTAAACTTTCCTTCCCATATTGATGCATAAACTAATATATCATACTGTGTCATGTAATTTGTGCCAATCCTGTCCCTATACTTGATCCTATTGCTAATACTCCCTACACCTATCTTATATACTTTGCAAACAAACTCTAAATCCAACCCTCCAGTTCTCAGCTTCTAATTCATACCGAATTCTCCAAGTAGCAATTAAGTTAAAGGTAGTTGGCAATAGCTTGATCATCGTATTCTCTTGTACCATCTCCATTATTATTATTGCTCATTATATTTTGGTATTCCATGGCAATTAGGTCTTTAATATCAAATTCCTTATGATAGGTATTGTCATCTATTACTCACTTTCATGCTATTATCTTACATATATTGCCAATTGCTATGGTTTTATAGTTCTAATTTGAATTGTTATCTTTGACTTTTTGTTCTGAATCATATGACATGTCAATTTTCCAGAGTGTTCTTACAAACTGGTCTGTTTGCCACACAGTTTCTCTTGGCTGCCTTATTCAGATTGAATTATTAATTGCTAAGTCTATTCTTCTGGTTAAGATTATAGTTCTGAAAATTGGAATCGAACAGAATCACAGGGAATCGCATAAGGTTCGGAATACTATTAAAAATGATAGTGGAGTATACCCACCTATTAAATTTAATATAAACTTGAGAATTGAATACAGAATCGAAAAGAATTGTTAGAATTCTTAGTTGAGATAGTAATATTCCATCCAAACCTTATGGCAAGAAAACTCAGATAACATATTATAATCTTTTTCTCGATCATTTATCAGTATAGAGATATTGGTCGTGGATGTATCACAGGTAGGTTGCAACATATAATTGTTGTATCCTTCAATGCATATAGGTGTTTTGTTTCTGTGATCATTAGCTTTTTGTCTCTCAATCTTTTTGTGCCATTTCTGGTTTCAAAATAAATTATGGCATCCAGATTAATAATAGTATATCACACTTCCTTAACATACTCAGATCTCTGGACAGTCCTCTTGATTGCATTCATATGCTTGATCAGGAATTCTTTTACTGAATTGTTTATTTAAACCATCCACCTAATTGTCATTATAGTGTAGAATATCAATTTTATAAAAGTTTCAATACATGTTGTCACTGGTTTCTTTTTAAGCTTTCGGCAAAGTGTGTCCATTAGATATTTCCATGATGCTAGGATGGAGCGAGCACAGCCTAAGCATCTTATTGCTTAATACATATGTTCCCAGGTAATTATCATTTCTATCATCTTGGTCCTTTCCTTTGTACTTTGATTACCCTAATGTATATTGCATTTGGCTAGGGCATCATTGTTGGTATTAACAATATGTCACATTACTTGAGAACATTTTTCCTTCAAGATTGTGTCTTTCAATTCTTATTATTTGTTTGCCCTCCAGGTTCTTATATGTTGTTAGCAATTCTTTCATTACCACGATGTCTTGTACTTTCGAAATCACTTTTACTAACTCATGTTGTCCTTTCAATTTGTTCTCACATTTCTCATTAGTTTCATTGATCTTGTCAAAACCCTCTTTGGTCACCACCAATGTTTCTTCTATTTGAGAGAAATATGCTACAAGGCCTAGAGTCTCCAGTCACGTATCATTATCAGAATTGGAATTGTTATTTATTTCTTATACTATTTCCTCTTCATTATCTTTAAAAGATATTAACCATATTTCCTCATCTTCACTATTCTTTTCTTTATTATTCGATCTTTCATTTTGTCAAGTGTTTCTGTCAGATCACTTATTAGCAATCTTGCCAGTAAATGCCTTAGTTTTATTCTTTAAGATTGGAATTTTTGCTGAGTATCCTTTAGTAGTTTTTTTTTTATTGCTACAAACAATTTTTATCCTCTCTTCAGATGTGGGCATCTCATCATACTCCTCATACTTATAATAACTTAGATTTTCTCTTTTAGTTGACACTACTTTCAGTTTCTTTGCAGCAAAGGTAGCATATTGGTAATATACTGCCTTTATTTCTTGTATTTACTTTTTTAATTCTTGAATGCAATCTTCTAACTCTCTTTTGGCCTTGGCATCAGCTTCAACCTTCATTGCTTTTTCTTTCTCAATTCTTCTTGCTACTTTGGTTGCATTCCTCTCTATGTTGGCTTTGACATCTATTGCTGCTCTGATTGCCTTCTCTGAGTTGATCACATTTGCAACAGCAGGTTAAGACAATGCATCCTTCCATAATCCAGTTGCAAGTAACCATACTGCTAGTTTCTTATGGTAATTGCCCTTGGGGTACATCTTCTCAAATAGTTTTGCAAACCTGCAGGCATACTCTATTGCCTTTTCATCCTCTTCTTGCTTTATGTTTTTTAATTCTTTTTGTCATTGACATCATTGCTCGAGTATCACAAAGTGCTGTATAAATATTGGCACAAAATATTTTTTATGGTTGTATTTATTATTTCAATAGATAAAATGGTTTAAGTTTTTCTCGTACTAATTTAATGCATTCCCTTTTAAATACTTACCTATCCCTTCCAGCTTCTTGTCATCTATCTATCCGTTTCATTTGGTGGTTTTGTCATAGAGCCTTATCCACAAACATGGATTCTTTTCTACTTTACCTCTGAACTTCTGAATTCTTGTCTTTTGCGTCCTCTTCTCTTTTGGCTTGGCTTTTTATTTTCATCTTGCACATATGTCTACTGGTCTTTTTGGGATATCTTGTCATAAGAAGATAGAAGAACCAGTTTCATTATTTGTTGTATTATATATAATTTCAATCATGACACTATTGATTATTAATCAGGATGTCACGTATTACAAATGGTTTTCTTAGACAATTTCAAAGAGGGTATTGTCTTGTTTTGGTAAATAATAATTAATTAAAAATTCCTATTTTTGACATTTGCACAAAAATATTGAAGGGGAAAGGGGAGGTTCAATGTTGTTGCTTGTATAATTTACTTGGATTCTCTATCAATTATTATTATTATCAGTGAGTCTATCACTGCTTTGAAACTAGACTTGCTATTGACTATCATTTGGGATCATCTTGCTTGCAATATCAAAGGTACTTGTTGATATGACAATTCTTTAACTTTTTTTCTTCCTGATTGTCCCCCTGGTACAATCCTTTATTAATAAACTCAATATTGACTACTACTGAATTCTTTAGGTAATAAGTATCTCAATAAGGTAAGTTTATTATTATTGTGCTGCAAAATATAGGTTTATTATAAGATTATTCTCTTTACTCAGTTATTAACTCACTACTGGCTATTCTACTTTTATTTATATTACCGGCAATGTATCTATCAATCTTACATAATGTTATACAAATCTTTAACAGACTTTCTAAACTTTTCTCCTTATATTAATATATGAACTGATGTATTGTGTCACATCACATGATTTATACTGATCCTGTCTCTATATTTGATTCTACTGCTAATACTACAAATGAATTTATTAATAGCAATTACAATTTTACTTTATGTTATAAAAATTTAATAATCAACTTTAATAATCTTATTAACAATTCTGAATAGGTATTTATAGTTGCTTGATATTATTTTAAATATATAACAGTTTTAATATTTATTTTTCTTATTACTAAAATAGTTTATATAGGCAAGCTAGCATTAGATTTTTTAACTTAGCTAGTTATATAAAAGATATTGTTACCTTCTTTATATATAAATTTTAAACAATTTTATAATCAATAAAGTAATAATGTTTTCCTATAAAAAAAATTATTATGTTATAATTAATTACTTATAAAAAATATACAATATCATGTTTTATCTATTTTTCAAAACAAATAATATTTTTAAATTAAGGATTTTAAAAAATATCATATATAACAAGAGTAAATGTACAATGTTCATTGCTTAAAATAGAAACAAATATTTTAGAAAAGCTATTCTTGTGATTGAAGTTACTCAATAAATGTTTTTATTATTTAATTGAAAAAGTAAATAATAATATTTAGACATTTCTACAATTTTTTTTTATATTATAATAGTAGCTGATAAAGTATTGTTTTTTAAAAATAATTATTATTCTAAACTAAAGATTTGCTATATTGTAATATTAATTTCAATAATATTTTATTTTTGTTAGAAGCTTTTGTTTTAATTAGATTCAAATTAATTTAAAAATAATTAAAACTACTCAAATTATTTTATTTACACTTATTATGCTATACTATTTATTATGAAATAAATTTATAAACTAATTAGAACTCAATTTAGATATACAGTATATTCAAAGAAGTTTATCTTAAAATTTTTATATAAAGAATTTTTTAAAGTAATTTAATTTAGATAAATATATTTTTTTTTAATGACTGGCATACATCTTATTTATTAGATATAAATTTTACGATATACTGTATGTGTTTTTCTCTTTATGAAAATTGATTACTACCGATCTACCTAATGAAACTATTTAGAGAAAATTCTTATGACTTTACCTACTGGTTGGCTTATTGCCTTCTATTCTTCTATATTATCAATACCAAAGTCTTGATAACATTAAGGTACCAGAATATGTACCTTCTAGTTCTGTCTGCCATTCAATAAATAGAAACTTGAAGAACTATATTCTAATATGATTAGCTATAGACTAATTATATTCAACAAGAAATCTTTATGACTCTAGCTAGGTCTTCTTAAAAAATTAGGGTTTTCTTTTATAATCTTATAGACTTAAGAGGTAAGGAAGTATACTCCATACATAAGAATTAGAGAAAGCATTAAACTTGATAATAATCATTGTAACACTGCTGGATGATCATTACATTGCTATATATTTTTTTGGTATTACAATCCTAACGCCTGTTGAATCAACGTGTGAATTGGCTTCTTATAGGAAATAGCACATATTAGGTTATGACACCAGATATCATATTGAGATGGTTTAATTGTCTTTACCTGAAATTGAATTTGATATCTTATAATAATGATCAGAAGATGCTAATTCTTCCTACTTTAGTTTTTTCAGAGACTTCATATTAGCCCCCTGGAGGATCTAAATCAGTATCTTATGATCTGACCTGCTGAGCACTAACTACTGTACTATAGATCCACAGGTTGATTTAGATAAATATATTCCAGAAATATACACTACATAAACAAAAGTATTGCACATCTTAAATTTATTATTATATAAAAATGTACATAATAACTTTATTTAAAATTTTAATATGTT